TCGAAGCTTACCGCTTTTACCGCTTGATGCGCTTGCATCTTAAAAATTATCGCCAATTATGCAATATACAGGGTGTCCCGGAAATGGTGGGCAATCTCTCGGATATGGATAGATAATGAGAAAATAATGTCACTAGTTCATATAAAATTTTTTCCTCCGAGCTCACCCTGTAGAGTTATTAGCTCTTGAAGTTGAGAATTAAAAATGTTTTTTTTGCTGTAACTTTTGTATTTTTCAATAAATTTTGAAAATTTTTTGGCTGGATCTATAATTTTTGAAGCTGCTTTGGATGATAATATGAAATCCTCGATAATAAATATGGGGGCCCGGGGGCAAAGGACCCCCTACCAAAATTTCTAGAAATAAAATTTTTGTTCCACTATACCCCAAATTTTCCATCATTTCATAAAAATTTATGGTATTTTACGTAAAAAAAGGTATACTTGTTGAATATCCATAAAATATAATTTGGTATAATTTTTAACGTGTACTGACAGTTTCTAAAGTGTGATTTTATAACAGTGGTCTTAAAGGTAAATCACTTGACTTACTTTTAACACTAGTGCTAAAAATAATTCACTTTCAACACTAGTATCATAAAATGAAATTGACTGACAGCATGCGTTAAAATTATACCTTAATGACGTTTGTAGAAAAACAAGTTTAGAGACAACGGTACTGTTTAATTCGAGACATTTTATTTAACAGAAACACAGGTTTAATCGTAATTGGCTTTTACATATCAGAATAAAGGACAAATAATTTGCAATAGCAGTGTTTCAAATTATGAGAATTTGGACTTAACTAAACTAACTAAACGAAAAGTGCATGACAATCAAAATTTTGTAACTAATATAATTCATAATAAATTCTCAATATTAGTTCCACCTTCTCTTATNATAGGTTTATTTCTTTCACCGTCGAGGTAAAACGATAACATTCCGAAACCACAAAAACGCTGATATAGTTTTGTAGAGCTCCCGTTAAATCTCATATTTAAAATAAAACTACACTGAGAAAACTACTCTCTGCCGTACTCTCTGCCGTTTTCTCCTAAAAGAAATTCATTTGACCCCTGGAATTTATTTTCTTCTATACTGGCTTTTATGATTCTTATTAATAATTATTAAACCAGTGTTTGTTATTTAATTTTGTTTCCCTTTGGGTTCTATTCGGTTTTTATAAAAGAATAGGTTCACCGACAACGGCAAACACTGGTGATGCCCATATTGTCATAACTTTTTTAGGGGCAAACTTTTTTTCGCAAAAATTGGTACAAATGCATTTGAGGGGTTCCAAAATCCAGTGGTGAAGTCAGATTTTTTATAAAAAAATCACTAAAATTTTGCCATTTTTCACTTGAAAAAAATTCTTAGTAGGCCTTGAAAATCAAAATTTCGTCTTCAAATTTTGCATCAAGATAGAACTTTTGGAGATCTATCTTTAAAAAAAACCGGTTCAAATCGGTCTATAAACAACTTTTGTACGCGAGTGTTTCCATTCTTAATGGGTGACCCTGTATATGTATTTCTTTTCTCTTTTATACATTTTACAAACTTATGAACTTAGATCTCACTCATGGTTGCACCATAATGAAATATTTAAATATAGCATTTAAATATGTCAACTGAAGGTCACCTCCTCATGTATCATATAATATTCTTCCTCAATGTTATTTCATTGTTGAGTTATATAACAAGGGTTTCATTCAAAATATTGTATACATTCTAAAAACATATAATGTAATAACGCACTAATCAAAATCGTTATGGTAAAAATATTTATTAACTACATGTTTTAAATTGCGATATATTTAAATTTGGTTTGCGCGCCAAAATCCATTTAAATAGACATATTTCAATGAAGGTCATCTTCTCATATAAAATACCTTCTCTTTCAAATACCATACAAATCTAATTTCAAGGTTACCTGCAATGCAAAGGTCAAATGAAAATCACCACCCTATACCATCTTCTTTGGAAATTCATGTACCAGCTTCATTTAAAATTATTTTAACAATAACCCATAACTGGTACTTGTAACTTGATTATTTCCAATGCACAAGGCGCAAATTTATTTGCCGGGCTGCATGTGACAAACATTTGAATTAAAATCTCCGTAAACAATATCAGCATTATATGTAATAGCAATGTAAAACGTTTTATTATGTCGTACAACATAAAATACTGTATACATTCTAAAAACTTATATATAGTAACGCGTAAATCAAAATCATATTGTTTTTTTTTTGTGAATGGTTTTTTGTATTGAATTATTGTAATAAAATTTGTATCACTGAAAGTTATAATAAAAATAAACAACAAATATGATGAGTTTTATTTTTATATACATAAATTTCAGATTGTGGTAAATGGAAAAAATATATGTTTAATAAAAAATATATTTACTGCATGTAAGTAATTACAATATTGTTTTATGTATCAAATAATTTCGAAGTAATCACACCAATATCAAAGCCAAATTCTCAAGGTGACATTCTCAAGCAATATTGAATATATTTCAAATGAAGGTCATATAACATGTGGTATCATTCGCGCCAAACAAATGTAATTTCAAGGTTAACTGCAAACGTTTTTAAAACACCAACAAATTTGTTGTTGGTGCGATATTTTTAAATTTATTTTGAGCGCCAAAATGCATTTATATAAATAGA